TAGCCTAAAGCAAGCATGTTAACATAAAGGGGCAGATTACTGGAACAAACAGAACAAAATTCATGAAAACACAGGGAAAACTGTAACTAATGTCACTTTGAATAATTTGTGTAGAACTTGTTAAGTGGGAATCTAATCTGCTGTCAAAATTCTCACAAGAAACACAACATCTAAAAAGCTTTTGTAATCAGCACTGAAAATTCAAACCCTCACCATTTTTGAAAGCTTATGACATTTGAGACAGGGCTAATCCTCTTGCTTCTATGATCTCATTCTCACAAAAACCCTGTAAGGTCATTTAACATGGATGATAAATAGCTGGCTCAAGGAATAACATGGATTTTGAACTACACTCTCTCAGAAGGTTCCTTTTGAAAATATTCCTTTGTTAGCCACTCTAAATTCTTCTCAAGGAAGAGTAGTACCAGTTTCATCTGCATGCTTACAAATTTAAACTATTTCAACACAAGAAAAATGAGGCGTTTTAATCCTCTGGAGCAATACTATACCAAATGGCCTGCAATGAGAAAAACAGAGCCTGAAAGTCATCAGAAATTTTTATGTCAATAACACAGCAGCGTAATACTATGTCTGTTAATGCTAATAAGACACCTGGGCTTTATTTCATATATTTTTTATTCTCCACTTCATTTTCCTAGAATTTTATTTTTATGCTATCTTCCATAAGTTAGTCTGCAAGGGGAAAGAAATTTAACAAAACACAGCCTGAGAAACACTGCTTCAGAGAGCTGTTGTAAACACAGGCTGCTCCCCGATACTAGCTCTGTGGCAAAGGGAAGACATGACCAAGGAGATAATCCTCAGAAAACCAATCAAAACCCCTACTTTGGCACTGGTTTGTATTCCTATCACTTAAAGCAACGGCTAGACTGGATATGTTACCAGCAGGCTTTCAACCTACTTATGTGACAATGATTTATTTTTCCCCCAAAGGGTTAAATTTTTATTGCTGATCTATTTACAATAAAATAAATCGCTAGTAATGATAACATCATAGACAAAGAAGAACAATATACAAAGCATATTTACATTTTAAACCACATTTCTGATAATATAAATGAGAAACAGCAGTTCCAGGGCCACTTCCTGTCAGCTGTCAAGGTACTTTTTTTTTTCTTCTAGTAATGTATCTACTCAACAAAATCAGCAACAAAACAGTTTTTCTTACTGAAAAGAAAGTAGATAGATACTCCATTTTCTGGACCCTGAAACAGTATATGCAGGTCCTTGGGTGACAAGGATTTTTAGAATCAAAAGTCAACCACTCATTAATAACTGAATGTTAAAAAAAATAAGACAATGCTAAATTAATGGAGGGGCTTCGGTGGCTTAGAGGAAGGGAGTTGTGCTCCGAATCCACAGGCATTCAGTTTGAGCCTAGCAGCTTTTCTGTGGGAGAGAGACAGACAATCCCTTCCACTGCAATTCACAGCCTCTGGAAACCTGTCAGAGGTTATGACTCCATGGCAATGGCTTTGACTTTTCAAATAAATGTGTTCAACTTTAACAAACATTTACATACAATACAGAAGTCATGCTTTGATCTCCTTTACAAGTTTTGTTTTTCCCCTCAAATGCTTAAGAGAGTATTGGCCACTAGAATAAGCTTCCCCCCCTTCTTCGTCTATGAATTCTTTAGGCAATAAGATAGTGTCACCAGGGTATCAGGAAGCAAGGATAAGGGTCACAAAACTATTGATAAAGGGAGTCTGGAGGTAAGGAGCATTGGAGAAACTGACAGAGAACCCTTGTTTCATAAATGTCTTGATGGCTAGATATGGTACAGCTATTAAAGCAATTTCAGGCTGCTTGATTTAAACTCATATTTGAATAGTAATACTGCCTTAACCTTTGTAACTGCTCTGAGAAGTTCTGAAGAAAACAGTAATGAAGGATGAAGCAATGGTAAGATGAAGAACAAATAAAAAGTCACCTTTTCATGTGAAAAATGTAAACTATAATACATTTACTTAGTCTTCTTATTCATAAAAATGTTGTAAGAAAAGCTGTTGTTCTAAGTTGCTGGCTGCTCCAATTCCTGGTGGGCCCAGGTACAACAGGGCAAAACACCGCCCAGCCTGGTACCATCTCCAAGGCTGTCAGTGCACTCGAGTCCACGTTGTGGGCACTGAGTGTTTAAGCGTCTCTGCTTACAAAGTTCATCTCCCAGCACTGTACTGAAAAATGTTCTTGCAGTGGTTAACAGGATTTTCACAAGCTGATGTTCGGAGACAGATCACCAGGTCTTCCTTCCTAATCTTTGTCCAGAAGCGCTGCTGCAATCAGTCCACTAGAGGGAGCTCTGGAAGCCTAGTAAGGAGTTGTGCTGCCAACCCAAAGGCATGCGGTTCGAGCCTACCAGCTGCTCCCCACAAGAGAAAGATGGGTAGTCTCCTCCTGTGTGATTTACAGCCCCTGACACCCCACTGGAGGGTTAGCTATGAATTAGCTCTGAATTGACAGCACATCATAACATAGGTGACCCTCCTAGTATTTTAAATAACTGATGATACATCTTTTATCATTGCAAAACACAAGTTACTACATTATGATTCAAATTGACAGGTGCAGAGTGTAAGAAAAACTAGACTTTGTTAAAAAGGAGGCATTTGGAGAACTATTTTCTAAGGCTAGAAATTCTGCTTCCAAATTCCCTGATTAAGCTTATTTTCACTAATTTATCATCTAACTAATCACAGCACATTGGTCTTTCGCAATAGTTTCATTTACCCAGGAAAAAAAAATTGCTTTGTTGCTAGGAGATAAATACCAGTTGAATCTAACCTTTAAGTTATGAATTTTCATTTTTAATCTAACAGTTCAAAATGCACTGTTCCTGTTATAATAAACAGGAATGCTGACATGCAGCATTTTAAGACCTATAAATGAAAAAGACACTTTGACCATCAATTTATAAATCTATAAATGACGTGGCATAACTGACTAGCTTTATTAACCATCTGATCAACAGATATTTCCTTTCAGTGACAAAGAAAATAGCACAAACTTGCATACTCCAATAATCAGTCAAGCTGGAAAAGTTCTGGACATTTTATAAAAGTTGTTATGGTCTATTTGAATTATATGCTTGAAAACTGGCACCTACGTAAGTTTTTAAATATATGGGTCACCCTAAATCTCACACGTCAGCCCTCTTAGAATGAATTCAATTTTTAAGCAGTTTAGAAAAAACCCAGCTTTTGTCAGAGGTAAGCTGGCAGACTCATGGGGCAAGCAAGTAACCAAAATAACAGAAGCAGGTTTAACAGGTCAAAAAGGCTCATTACCAAAAAAAAAAAAGGCTCATTACCAACAGCTGCTGTTTAACTGCTGCCTTGGAGCAACATAAGCAAGAACAATAATAAATTAAACATTTGGCTAAACTAACCAAGTAGTCTACTGGCTGGGTTTGGTATATAACTACCACTTTATGATCTTTGTTGCAAAGAACACAGTGGCTAAGGATTGCTCTGAGTCAAAGAAAGCAACATTTAGAAAAACCACCGGTTCTAATATGCTACAATCCCTTGTCCAAGTTGTAAGACCTGCCTGAGACACGCAATTTTCTCTGTATGTCACGGTTTTTAAAATGAAGTTAGAAACACTTGAAAATTAGTTAGTTGTGACATTAAATGTTGAGAAGTTAAAAAGGTAACAGACAAGAGAAGAAGCAAATTCAAGTGGTTCCATCCATCTGACTGTGGACTTCACTATCCCTCAATCTCATACCTCATTCACACACTTCCTCATCCAAAGGCTATTTTCTTCATCTCCTTCCTTCAGGGATCTTCAATGACTACCTTGAAAACTTTACTTTTCCTTTTCGTTTTGTATATGGCTGAATTGGAACTGACTCATAGCTGACCCTGTAGCGGGTTTTCAGAGGCAATACAATCACAGGTAAAGTTTTGGTGGCCTAGTGGTAAGGAATTGTGCTGTCAACCAAGAGGACCAAGGTTCGAATCCATCAGTAGCACTGTAGAAGAAAGAACAACAATTTCCTGTAATAAATTGCCTCTGGAAACCAGCTTGAGAAAGCTTCCATTCCACTGGAAGGTCAGCTGTGGGTGGGTTCTGACTCAATGGTACACAAGAGCAACACTGCGTGGAAGGAGACTTCCCATCTTTCTCCCTCCAACCAGCTGGCCGATTTAAAGTGCATGAATCTTTTTCTTTCTACTTTCAGGATAGCTGGGAAGTTAGGATTTATTTTTCTTTATTTTACTATTAAAATCATGTAATACTTAAAAAAAATCCTGTTATCTGAGTCTAGTTTGCCCCCTAAATCTTTGACAACTGTGAACTTGCTAAGTTCTTTCTGGCAATTGAATAAACCTGTCCGTCTTTTCACTGGACAACTGCTTCCTCTATTCTCTCCCCTGATAACCAAACTGCCCAGAATAACAAAAACATTCACTTAGAAGCAAATAGGCTTAAAAATTTAAACCTAACCTCTTCCTTCTTCATAAAGAAATTAATAACAACCTAATTTGGGGGTTCCCCCTCATACGTTTGTTCTAGTACAGGTGTCCAAACACTAGCTTCCCCTTAAAAAAGAAAAATCCTTGACTGTCTCAAAAAGAGAAGTTACATTCATTTCAATCCATATGGATAAACAGCATTCTCTGGAACCTTGATTCTTAGAAAACCTAGCAATTAAAAGAATGTTATATAGTCTTTCACTCTAGGAATATGCAGAGACCACCCTCCCCACCAATTTTTTTCTTTTTACATAATTTCAGGACACTCGGGCTCAGCATACCTCAGACCTCTGGTGGACCCACCCAATTCAGGTTTAAAACGCTGGTGCTGAATATGAAGCTGGTTTCTATTCATTGCTGTGGACAATTCTCTTAGAAGGCAAGTCCTCCTGAATAAGCCCTTCAGCTCTAAGATGAACTCGGGAAACTCTTCCCTTTACAACTGTCACTATTTCACAGCAGCCATCCAGAGATGACAGAAAAGAGAGAACGTCTTACCTCTGAGAAATTAACAGCCAGCGGAATAATTCCAGCCACGTAGCATCCCACTAACATAGCGAGAGACAGCATACTAATGGAGAGGAAATCATCCATTCTGCCTTCCTTTATTCACCCCACCACCACCAGACTATAAATTTTCAGTGACTTCAGAAGGTGCTTAGGTTCTTAAACATGTGTAGTGATGCCAGGAGAGAAGGTGGACTTTCCAGTTCGGCCTCCCCCACCGGCGGATCTGTTCAGGAGGCGTCCCTACAAGCAATCCCTTCTTGCTGGTATTAGCACCAGAGGAAACTTTTTGGAAATCTTAGGTCGAGGGCGTGGGTCCTCAAACGCCAGTCACAGGACTCCCGCGGGTTATAGAAAAAAAAGTCAATGGGGGAAAGACGCTATCGAGCGATCTCTTCAACTGTCGGTACGAGGGAGGCACATCGGGCCCACTCCCTCTCAAGCAACGTCTCAGGTGGCAGAAGGAGGAGGAGGAAAACTCAAGCGAACCTGTTAGTTTTCCAGAAGCCCTGTCCCCCTGGGGCCGCCCGATCGATGGTGATCCCCCAGGATCACCCACTAGTCCCGGCAAACTCCCCTTCGAGTCTTGGATGGGGAAAAAGAGTCCCGTAGGTTCCTAACGACGGGCCCAAGGGGTTCAGTAATTAAGTTGATACAAAGCTGTCTCTGCCCTACAGCCGCTGATGCTCATGGTACTCCATTTCTCCGGGCCTTTACCCGGGGACACCAATACTACAGCTGCCATGGCCGCCAAGTGGCAACTCCTCATTGCATGCACTTCCGGATTGCCCTACCGCCCCGCCTCCAGAAAGGCACTTCCGGGTTACAACCGACCTGCCGCCTTATATACGTCTACTGCCGCCATTTTTGAGTAGGGCTAGTGAGAAACAACTCTTGTCGTAATCGGTGCCAGTGTTGTCGCTAAGCCATCTGTCTAACAGAGAGCACAGAAGACTGTATTGGGGGAGAGGGGAGAAACCACCTTCTGTCGGCCTTGAAACCATTCCGTGAGATAATATAGTCGCCCTTATCCAAGATGGCTGCAACAGAGTCAGAAACTTCTCTGCGTGCCGGAAATGTGGGCGCCTCTAAGATCTAAAAGACTCTTTCGCGTTGCCTCTTGACGAGTTCCGGCGGCTCCTCTCGCGGGGATTGGCTGTTGGCGGCGTCGCAGCTCGGCTCGTGTGCGGCGGTGGGTTCAGCAGGGGCTGCTGCGAGAGAGCACGATGGTGAGAGAGGCTTTCCCCCCACCACTATCCGAGCCCCTAGCCTCCCGGGCGACCCCAGGCTCGTACATCTTCTTCGTCTGCTGTCCTTCCCTCACCCCAGTTCGGCGCGATTCTACTGCTCCCCGCCCCTCCGGAGCGTGGATCGACCCTTTTGCTTCCCGCCGCGGAAACGCGGGGCCTGGCTTTAGGCCCCGGATCCTGGGTGCGCTCTGGGTTTGCGCGCCCGACCGCGGACTCGAGCTCGGCGCGCCGCGGGCACAAGGATGTGCTTTCTACCGACCGCTGCTTCGCGGAGGGAGGCGTGGAGATGGTGCTCTTTCCCTCCAAACGCGCTTCCCCAGCGTAGGAACAATGGCCGGGAGAGGTCTACCAAACCTGTTTCCGAAGCTGACAGATTGAACTTCCTGCGCTCTGCATGGAGGCGTGGGAGGGGGTGGGCGAGGGTGTTTGCTTTGTCGTGCGCTTTGTCGGCTGTGCTATAGTTTGCTTTTCTGTGCTTCGCCTTTTCCCCGTCGAGTTTTAAGTTCTTTTCGAATCACGCCAGGTCTCTCCCTTGCCATTTGCCTGCGCTCTGCGCTCTCTGTAGTACTTCTGTGCTGTCGGGAGTGGAGTCTGAAAAGGGAGGCTTATTAGCTGAGGTCTAAGGTTTCTTCGAACCCAGCCGGTAGTGGACCATTTTTGCACTTAGCACCGTTGCCGTTAACGATTCCCTGGGCTAATAAGTTGTGCTTTTTGAACTTTTTAAGGGTTTGATGCAGCCACGCCAGCCTGCTGATGTGGGTTTTCTGATTCACAGCCACGTTGTGGGCCTTGCGGTGGAGTCGGTTCTGATTCATAGGCACGTTGTAGGACAGAGGGGACTGCACGCAGGGTTTCCAAGAAGCAGGCTGCCTGGTCTTTGTCCCCTGGGGGGGGCGGGGGGAGGTCATGAATAAGGCTTAGGTTAGCAGTTGGATGCCTTACCCACAGCACCACCGGAGCCTGCATTTACTCACTCGCTGCCCGGGAGTTGGAGGGAGCCCCCGGCCACGCTCCGTTAGGTTTCCTTGGGAGCCACCGGGAGATTCCAGAGCCAGGGCCTTTATTGCACAGCTTCACCTGGACTTCCCACCAGAGCTCCCTCACTTGCAGGAAAAAGGCGTTCCCCTGGAGCCGGATTCCTGATCTCAGTTCAGTTTCCAAAGCTGTACATCGCCCTGGAGGAAGGAGATGTCCCGTCTTTTCTTCCGCAGAACCAAGGATAGATTAAAACAAACCGCCCCACAGTCTGGATGCTTAATGCGATCAGCCCCTACAAATTACCAGAAAGTAGAACATAAGTTGCAGTGGAACTTGGAAATGTCATTTTTATCCTCAAGAATTCTCCTTGCCTCAACTATTAATGCCACTCCTTGGCATTTTGTTAAAATACAGGTTAAAGTTTGAGAAATTAGTTACAATTAAATCAAGTAATTCTTAGACATCTGTCAATGATCTTGATCCATTTGAGAGTTTTAAATTATAATTTGTAAGTATATAATTGTTGATGTGATCGCCTAAAGTACTTGCAGGTGCAAGCTTCTTTTTTATTTTTCCCCGTTCTCAGTGTTTTTGAAACTCGTATTTGTGGGACTTTTAAAAGTAAGTAAAGCTACGTTATCAGAATGAATCATAGCTGTTTGCTAATCACTCAGGATAAACGGAAGAGTTATGTATAACTTTTTGTTCATCATTTCTGTGTTCACAATCTTTTATTCTATTGTAATAAAATATACATCTATATACATATCGATAGGTAGATAGAGAACATCTTCCCGTGAAAGAACACCTTAAAGAATGCAAGGACTAAGTCTGCTCCATAGAAAGGCGGGAGCTAATGAGACAAGACAAATTATGTAGTAAAATAACAAATTTTAAAAACTGCAGAGTTCTTTTGAAAGTGGCCAAGCGAGTTTGGGAAGTGTTATCTTTAAAAATTGCTAACAGGAGAGCATTCCCCTTCAGAAAGAGAATTAGGGGTGTGTGTGTCCTTCGTTGAGCACTGTTGGTATAATACCACCCAAAGAGAATGGCCAGCCATCTCCTCCTCTTAGATTTGCAGTCTTGGAAACCAAAGATAGCTAGCTAGGAGCTGATTGGACTGACAGCTGTGAATTTTGAGTTGGCATTTATATAGTTTTTTTGTCCTTGTCTTTGGGTAGTAAGTATTTAAATAATCTATGCCTAGAAGCTTATTTATAACCTAGTGATAATGAAAAGCCATTTTCCTAAATTTCTTTACTTTTTATTAGCATAAGAATTGAATTGACTGTAGTAAGAACCACTATGGCTGGTGTAATGGTGTATGGGAATGTAAACGTGATTTCTGTAAAATTATTTTTTTTCCTCAACGAATGACGCCTTGATGTAGCTATTTTGTGGTTGATGGCTTACTGTAATGGCTGCATAATAAATAACCTAGTATAATACTTTTTATCTTGCTTTCACTCTCACCGATGTTAAGCCCTTGTATGCATGCCTGTGTACTTGAAAAAAGTCAGTTACCCCTTCATTTCTTTTTTTCCCCAAGTTCTATTTTGTTCTTGTTATCTCATTTTTATCAGAGTAACTTCATTTTAGCTAAGAAGATAATGAGTATAAATACCCTTTTGATAAGCATATTTATATTTAAAGTGCTAGTTTTTAGTGGCTGGTTCAGAAAGCCTAAGCATTAATTAGTTTAACATTTAAAAAGATTCTGATGATTTCAAAATAATTAGGAGATCTCATCACTGTGTTTTGGTTTTATTTTTCTATTTCTTCCAAAAATAAAAAAGTATGTTTAATTTAATTTTAAATTGAGTTTACAGTGGAATTGCGTTATATTTGCATATAATTAAGCTTACATACATACTTGTCAGAAATTAGATGCAGGGGAGATTATTTCAATAGAACAGTTATTTTCAGCTGGGCATCATTTTTGTCCCCACTTCTCAGAGGATATAACAATTTCTAGAGACATTTTTGGTTTTTACAACTTGTGTGTTAAGTGTTATTGAGAAACCTTGGCACAGTCGGGGGAGGCGGGTCTGTGTTTGTGTGTATGTATATCTCTGTGTCTCATGCCCTGCTCCATCTGTCTTTCAGTCCTAACAGGATTTTGAGAAAGAAGTAGTCACTGAGGATTGGAGGATTAAGGAAGACTTTAGGAGGTTTTGAGCCAGCCAGATTTTAATGCTGTCTATGGGCAAAAGCATTTCAAGAATAATAACTTAATCATGTCTAGATAAGTAATAAGTATTATGAATGGAGGTTTGATATTTAGTTTTGAAAATATAAATTAAAAACTTGTAATTTTTTTTCTCTTTACAGTCTCACACCATTTTGTTGGTACAACCTACCAAGAGGCCAGAAGGCAGAACTTACGCAGACTATGAATCAGTGAATGAATGCATGGAAGGTGAGGTTAACACTGTTGGCAGGGTAGAAACCTGAGTTCTTTTACTAACATGCTTTTCATTTGGGAATTGGTTTGGTTTTGTGGGAGTTTTAAAGGAAAAAAGATTTAAGTTCATGTATGTGTTTATATAAAATAAAAGGAGCACTTTTGGGTAAAGAGTTGAGCTGCAAACTCAAAGACAGGCAGTTCAAATCCATCAGCTTCCCTGAGGGAGAAAGACGAGTAATTTACTATGCAATTTACAGCCTCTGAAACCCTGCTGAAGGGTCAGCTCTTAGTCAATTCAAACTCAGTACCACAGTATATGAAATAAATGACTTTTTGTAAAACCTCATATTTTATGTGTCAGTAGTTTTAGAGATATTTTTTTTTTTTTTATTTTGATTAAAGGATCTGTGAAATGCCTTCTGAACCTACTAGTCTAATTGGTAAAAATTGTTCAGGTATGATTGCAAGCCATCACAGTGATTAAAAATAAACACGAGACTAGGAGAAAATGGTACCAAATCAGTATAATTTTTAAGCATTGCTAAACATACTCTATTTCATATTTCTATTGCTCTGTATATTAATTATTTGTCACTTTGTTCTTAATGTGGACATAGGTGGTTGTTCGGTTTTTGTGGGTGGTGTTTTTTTTTTAATAGATTTTAATAAATAATTTTAATGATCATTTACAGAGATTTTGGATTTCCATTCATTTATTGTTGCACTTTTCTCCCTGCCTAACCCTCTCCCCCCTCCCCCAGTTCACTTCTCTCTTTGAAAAGTAAAGGAAAGATTCTTTTTTTTGGTATACAATCCCCTGCACCCCTCCCACCGCCCCAAGTACACTCCACTATGCAACCTTAATTGTGGACTCTTGTGATAACTATAATACCCTATCATATATCACTTTTAAATTCTTCTCGCCCTCATCTGTTTCGATGCAGTATAAACAATTTATCCAGTTTTTCTCAGTCATATCCCAATCCTGATATCAGTCCCAGTTGACACCAGTGGCACCATGCAGTATTTGTCCTTTTGCGACTAAGATTCTTCACTCAGCATAATGTCCTCCAGGGTCACCCATTTTGAATAATATTGCATGAGTTCCTTGTTTTTCAATGTAGTGTACTATTCCATTGTGTGAATATATCACAGCTTCTCTATCCATTCATTTGTTCATGGGTACCTGGGTTGTTCCCAACTCCTTGCTATTGTGAACAAAGCCGTGATAAACATAGATGTGCATATACCTGCTTGGATGTCAGTTATGGTCTCTTTGGGGTATATTCCAGTAGTGGGATTGCTGTGTCAAATGGTATCTCTATTTGCAAATTTTTGAGAAAACACCATACTGCCTTCCACAGTGGTTGCCCCATTTTACACTCCCACCAACAGTGAATAAGTGTTCTAGTTTATCAACAGCCTCGCCAGCATTTGTTGCTTGCAAACTTTAAACAATCTTAATAAGACCAGAGATTAAATTCTAAAAGTCACATTAGTTTTAGAAATGGCTGATGAATTTAGTGGAATTTAAAGATTAAATGTTCCTCAGTGCAGGAAACAAAGACTAAACTTAGTAATTACTATTGGCTGAGTACCTGTTATTTGCATGACACTATGTGGGGTCAAGATTGGTGGACGATATATCAACAATCTGTGTTATGCAGATGACACAACCCTGCTTGCTGAAACTGAGGAGGACCTGAAGCACTTGCTGCAGAGGGTCAAGGACTGCAGCCTCCAATATGGATTGAGGCTCAGTGTCAAGAAGACAAAGATTCTCACCACTGGACCAATTGGCAGCATCAGGATGGATGGTTAAGAGATTGAGATTGTTCACAGCTTTAGTTTGCTTGGCTCCACAGTCAACACTCTTGGCACCAGTAGCCAGGAAATTAAAAGGCGCATTGCCATGGGAAAGTCTGCTGTTACGGACCTCTCCAAAGTACTGAAGAGGAATGGTTTCTCTCTGGAGACTAAGGTGCATCTGATACAGGCCATGGTCTTCGCAATCACTTGTTATGCATCAGAGTTGGACAGAAGGAGGATAGAAGAATTGATGCCTTTGAGCTGTGGTGCTGGAGAATGCACCATGGACTGCTAGGAAAACAAACAGATTCATCCTGGAAAGGGTTAAACCGGGTGGCTCCTTGAAGGCAAGGATTCTGAGGCTCCTTGTAACATACTTTGGATATGTTGTGAGGAGAGACCGGTCCTTGGAGAGGGACATCATGCTTGGGAGGGTGGAGGGACGGCGCAGGAGGGAAAGGCCCTCTGGGAGGTGGATTGATTTGGTGACTGGGGCAATCAGGATGAGTGTGTCAGAGGCAGTGCAATTGGCACAGGACAGAGCAGAGTTTAGGGCTGTTTTACATAGGGTCGCTAACAACATGATAATTGTTTTAAATAGATTCTTTTCAGTCCTCAACAGTCCTGCAAACATAAGGCTATCTTCATAAGAAAGATAAAGTAAACTGAACATCTAAGATTGAAAGCTGTATTTGTAATTGCCTTAAAAACTTGGTTGTCAGGGTTGTATTTTTGTTTTTTGGGTTTTTTTTTTTTTAAGTTATTTTTTGTGTGTACCATCAAATCAGATCTGACTGGTACAGGAGGTGATTGCCCTTCCTTCTCTAGTAGAGCATCTGGTGGATTTGAACCGCATTCCTCTGGGATTGCAGTGCAGCTGGGCATAAGTTTTTTAATCTGTTAATTACCATTCAAAACTAATTGGGTTAGACTTTTAAAAAAACAGAAATAGGTTGTTGTGCACCATAGGGTTGGAACTGACCCGTAGCTGGCCCTCCAGTGGGTTTTCAGAGGCAGTTAATCACACAGGAGGACATTGCCCATCCTCCTCCTACGAAGCAGCTAGTGGCCTCAAACCAGGTACCTTTGGGATTACAGCACAGCTTCGTGCTACTGGGCCACCAGAGCTCCTTTGCAATGAGTTGTTACTTTGTTAGGTGCTGTCAGTGCGAGCATGACTCATAGTGACACTATGAACGTATGAGAACCCTGTTTTAACCTGTGCCATCCTCACAATTACTGACACATTGGAGCCCATTCCAACAGTCAGATGTTAGTCCGCCTGGTTGAGGCTCTTCCTCTCCTTACTGACCCTCCACCCTTCCAGGCATTATGTCCTTCTCCAAGGAATAGACTCTCCTAGCAACATCCCCAAAGTATGTTAGACAAAGCTTCATCATTCTTGCGTCCAGTGAGCTCTCTGCCTGCCCCTTCTCCAAGACATTGTGGTTTTGACAGTCCATGGGATGTTCAGTGCTCTTCTCCAACACTACAGCCCAAAGGCATCAATTCTTCTATCATCCTTAGTCATTGTCCAGTTCTCAGAAGCAAGTGATTGGAAATACCATGGCCTGAATCAGATGTACCTTGGTCCTCAAACTGACATCATTACTCAAAAATTTGGAGAGGTCCCTAACTGCAGATTTTCCAAGTGCAGTGCATCTCCTTTTTCCCTGACAGTTGGTATCAAGGGAAGTTGCGGACACGTTCAATCTCTTCTACCATCATGATGTTGCCTATGGGTCCAGTTTTTCAATGTGAAAAAACTGTTGATAATAGAGATAGCTTCTAGGTAATTGACACTCAGCTTTTCTGGTTGGCAATGAATTTGCTTTAATTTTTATGAAAGGTTGTAGAGGGGTTTTTTTTTCAGCATGACTTTTCCTAGACATTGTTTGACTTTGCAATGTAGATGGGCAGGGAATAAGTGCATGCTATGTATAGCCCAGTCTCAGAACTCTGCAAGGGAATTAGTGTTGCCGTTGAATTGAGCAAGCCAGCTGTGACAGACAGATCTTCCTCCACGATTGAAGAAGCAGCAAGAGAACGTAGAACACCCTTCCTGGTCCAGCTACACTTAAAGCAGAAGCCATGGCCAAATTAGAGATCTAACAGATGGGATTTGGGGCTGTTGTTGGGGTAGGCAGGATGGCAATATTAGCAGGACTGAGAACTTTGTTGGACAGCTAGAAGTAGGAAGCCAATATTGGCAAGTCTGAAAAACTTGGAAACACAAGCCTACAGCCTCAAGCCTCAGGTGCCTGTGTGCACATTTTGGGGAGCTTTCTTGACTCTATTCTGCTACTAACCTGGATTATAACGTTTTTGACTTCCCTAACATGGTTCTGTGTCATCTGTGAGCTATCACATCAGATTTTGGACCCAGTAAAGCAGTAAAATTGATATTTAGATGAGTTGAAAGAGGAGAGTGTGAGGGACATTTCTGACATCATGGGAAATTGGTTGTGTTATTGATGCTGTTGACAGGGACTGTTCCCCTTTGTGAAGTTGCTGAAGGTCAGATGTCATCCCCACATGGCCCTTGCTCTTTTTAAAAAGATCAGAACTCTCTCTTTTCAGAACCATTCCTTACTGACATCCTTACTTACCCTTAAGGCATGCTTTGTACCCGCACTGCTGGCATGTGTCCCTTTGTTACCATATTTGATCTTTGGTTTTGTAGTACACTTTACTAACTTACTGGTGTTACTCTGGTTTTGTTTTTTCTAAAACTAATGATGTTGAACATCTTGTACTCTACTGACCATTAGCCTCTCTATGGAATAATGTCTTCAGATTCTTTTAGCTGGTTGGTTGGGGTGGTTTGTTTTTTTTTTAATTGATTTTAATGAAAGTTTACAGAGAGTTTGAATTTCCATTCATTCATTGTTGCAGTTTTCTCCCTGCCCACCCCTCCCCCCATTAGCTTTTCTCTTGGAAAAGTAAAAGAAAAAATTCTTTTCATTGTTATTCAAACTCTCCCCCCAAGTCCACTCTGCTATGCTACCTGGTTTGAGTTTTATACTTTATTTTTGTCCATTGACATTGTGTTTCATACAATTATTCCTATGCGTTGTGTCTTATAAAATTAGCCACCATATTACTAATTAATCTATGCCTACTATTACCCTATCTTTTCAGATCCCCAGTGGATCTTTCCTTCACCCCTTCCCCCCACCCACCAAACTCTGCAAACCCATGATTTCTCCACCCCCACCCTCAGCTTCCCTACTCCTTTCCCTTACTTCTTTATAAATTGTGTTATATTTAATTTCGTTCCATGTACTTTTGGTGCTGTATCCAAGAATCTGCCTCCTAATCTTAAGCCACAAAGATATACACCTTTTTTCTAAGAATTGTATGAGTTTGAACTCTTGAAACCACTTAAAGGTAGCATTATTTTGTATGTGATTATTCATTTGTCTTGACATCATTATTGAAAAGCAATTGGCTGCTTATATGAGGAATTTTTTCTGAATTCTGTATTGTATTGGACTTTTACATATCCCTAGTTACTGTAGCTTTATAGTAGTTTTAAATTGGAAAGTAGGAGACCTCCAGCTTTTTCTGTCAACATTATTTTGGCTCTTCAGAATCTCCTTTTCATATGCATTTTTCAGATTGTCAATTTCTGCACAAAAACACCTGAGATTTTTATGGGAAATGTGTGGAATTTGTAGGTCGTTTTGCTTTAAAAAATTTATTCTGGTAATCAGAAGGCTTTTCAGTTCAAATGCCAGGTGCCAACTCAGAAAGCTGCGTGAGTTCTGGGGGCAAGTTTTTAAATCCTTTCAACATCTGTGACCAGCATTCCTTGGAGATCTCCCATGTTTCTTCACAACCCTTTTTTTACTGGGTCTAAGAGATTCTCAACACAGGAACCATGGATCCTAAGAACATGCTCTGCTTCTAGCTCTTTTTTTATGCTTTTGCAAATAGGTTGGTTTTAAAGGTTCCTTTTTAAAAAAAAATGTGTCCTGCACTTTTGCTAGGTTTTTATTTTAGTAGTTTGTTGTTGTTACTCATTCCTTACAATTTTCTATATACAAAATCATGCCATCATATCGTACAAAAGTGGTTTTATTTTTTCTTTGCTAACTGAATGTTTTTATTTTTCTTTCCAGTTGTTGTGAATAGAGCCTGTAGTGCAATGTAACAGGAGCAGATATTCTTACTTCATTCCTGAACTTAGTAGGGAAGACTCACTGCCCTGCCATTAAGTCAGTTCAACTCTAATCTTTAAGGCAGAATAGAACTGCTCTATATGATTTCTTTCAAAGGCTGTAAATCTTTATGGACTCAAACTGCCTTTATATCAGAGGGCACCTGGTGGGCTCACACCACTACTAGCCTTTTGTTTAAGTTAGATCTTTTAACTTCAGTACCATGAGGCTTCCTTATGGGAAGGTATCCATTTAGTAACCTATGAGTGATAGTGGACCAGTAGCATTTAAAAACCCCAAGACAACTGCTTACTGTCTCTGTGCTTGAATATTGGCTTCCTTTTTTTTTAAGGACACTTGAGAAGTTAATTTTTATTAAAGAGCCTGTATGTACAGAATAGGATGTTTCCCCAGATAGCTACCCTGTATATTACTTGTTCATTTATTGTATTAGTCTTAAAAGTAGGAATTGATAGTAAGAATAATGTTTCACTGGGTAAAAATTATTAATATTCTTAAGTTAATAATGTAAACCTGATATCTGTGATAATGTTCATTTTCTAATTTTATATTTGATAGGCTTATTATACTAATTCTTTATATGAAACTGGTAGCCTAGTGATAGGGAGTGGCACTGCCAACTTAAAAGCAAATGGTTTGAATCCACCAATTGCTCCATGGGAGAAAGAAGGGCAGTCTCTTCCTAGGCGATTTACAGCCTCTGAAAACCTGCTGGAGGGTCAGCTGTCAGTCAGTTCCAACTAAACAGCAATGAGTGAGTGAATTCTTTATATACATTATCTCACATAATACAGGGTCATTAGCCAGTTTGAACCATTGAGTTAAGCAATTCTTTAAAGTTCCTTTAGGTCCAATGGTTTAAAATAATTGCTTTGTTTTATCATTAAGAAATAAAATTATTAATGTAAATTTGTCAAATTTTAAAAATTTCTAGTAAGAATAATTAAAACCTTGCACCTAACATCTTTTCCACAGGCCAACTATATAAAATAAATCGTAGAAGCATATATATATATATGAAATTCCTATTAATTTATGCAGTTATGAAATCTTGAGGGTTTTCCCCCTTTTTTAGGTGTTTGTAAAATGTATGAAGAACATCTGAAGAGAATGAATCCCAACAGTCCTTCAATCACATATGATATCAGTCAGTTGTTTGATTTTATTGATGATCTGGCAGACCTCAGCTGTCTTGTGTAAGTAATAGCCACCATTTCTCAGAACTTGTCTTTTTCTTCTGTATATTTGAGGAATAAATAGTATTGGTAGCCCACTATGTTGATTGCACTGCTGTTTACATTTCTAATATTACATAGTAATTTATATGTCCTCTACGTATAAAAAATTAGAATCACTTTGGCAATATATTCATGAAACCAAAGCAAAAATGATAGCATCTGGCTATCTGATGCTGTTAGGGTACAAAGAGAGTCTTACTTAAGAAAATCATATTCTTAATCTTTTTTTCCATTATAGCCTCTGTCCACAAACACTCAGCTTTGTTTAAAAAACCAAGATAACTCTCTTTTCATGACGTTATTTTTTAATAAACATGTAAAACAGAATTGGAACTAAATTAAATGTGTAAATTTTGGCATGTTAGAATGAGACTGTTTAGATTTAGAGGGGTTTTTTGAGATTTATCAAATTAAGAAAACTTTTCTAACATCTTAGATTTGGAAGCAGGAGTGGCATCTACTTCCTGAACAGCATGACTCTGGAAACTCTATGAACTTTGATAAATGACAATAGTTGTAGAAAGGCTTCAGGCCTTTTAGTCACATAAGGTCACTGAGTCATGCTCAACTCAGTGGCAGTCAATAACAGTACTTGTTATAATAATTTGTTTTGATCACTACCACTAAAGATTATAAAGTGACATTGAATGTTGACCTAATTTTACAGGGGAAAATGGAAGAATCTTATTATGAAGTAACATGCCAGCTACTACACTAGAACTTCGAAGCATTAGTGAAAAACACAGATCCTACAGCAGACTCTTCTTGAACAGGGCTTCAGAAGATGCTGTTTTGGGCAGGGTAGCATACAAGTTGTGTAGCACATCTCTTGACAGTCGTATTTTGACCCAAGTAGGAAATAGGCAGTTGGACTTGTTCTTTCAAAGAGGTACAGTCACCTACCATCTTTGAGTGGGGCTTTGCTGCTTATTTCCTTCTTGGATGAAAATTTTGTTTCTTTGCAGCACCTGCTTCTCTTGGCCATAACTGAACCAGTTCAGAGTCTTGCCTTGGATCATGTCTGGAGCCGAACCTGACACTTAGCTGTCTTATTTTCCTTACCTCTTCACTATGTTTCAGTTAGGGCAGTTTCCCTTTCTTGCTCAAAATTTTTGAGTCTCTGGTCTTTAAATGTGTTCAGCAGTGCTCGCTTCGGCAGCACATATACTAAAATTGGAACGATACAGAGAAGATTAGCATGGCCCCTGCGCAAGGATGACACGCAAATTCGTAAATGTGTTCAGCAAATTTTGAAGAGGCCAGTGCTTTATTTGGGTTTTTGTGTAAAATTGTCATGTTCAGGAGTTGTACTCTCAACCTCAAGGGAGGTGGTTCAAATCCTCCAGCTGCACCATTGGAGAACAATGATGGGCAATCTCTTACTATGTGATTTTTCTACTGTAGGATCTGATCTGATTCCACAGCAGAAGAGAAAGTTTGTTTGTAATTTGACATACATATACACAAAATGACCAAATAAATTCATCCAGCAAATACTTGTTAAGGGCTGTGTGACAAGTAATTATGGCTGGATGACTTGAAATATAAGTGGACATTAGAAGGCTGTAGTGGAGGCACAGTCGAATAACTTAATTGAAGGTCCCAAAGGAGTCCTATTTGGCATATTGATGCTGAATAGGTTTATGAATACATGTCACTTGAATAATATAATTTGTATAATATATGTTGTTGTTGTTGTTATGTGCCGTCAAGTCGCTTGCGACTCATAGCGACCCTATGTACAACAGCCCTAAACTCCGCTCTGTCCTGTGCCAGTCGCACTGTCTCTGACACTCCCATCCCAATTTTCCCAGTCACTGAATCAGTCCACCTCATAGAGGGCCTTCCTCTCCTGCGCTTTTAAATAGATAATTTTCCATTCTCCTTGGGATAAATGTTGTAAGTTGGCATCCAGTCTTTTCTGATTCCTTACAACCCGTGACCTTAATCAAAAACAAATTATCATCAGTCCTGTCTCCTAAGGGTCCCTCAGGGTGGGGTCAAATGTGCAGTCTTCTGGCTTGTATTAAGTACTTGGCCATTTGTGCTGCCCATGTCTTCTAGGGTGAATCATGACCGAGCTGTTTTCTGAGTTGAAAGGGTGACTTAAGAGGTACGCAGTTTGAATCCACCAGATGCTCTGCTGGAAAAGGAGGGACAGTCTCCTCCTGTATGAGTCAGATCCAATTTGACGGTACACACACAAAAAAATAATAAAAAGAAATTTAAAAAAAAAAGGGGGGGGGGTGACTTAAAGAAAAGGTGAAAAAATCCCATGACTGACTTCATGCTTAATTTTGTAACATTTTACATTCTCAGAAATCTATCTGATGAGTAGATGAGGCTTTTAAAACACATTTTATTGCTACAAAATGAGATAACTCACAAAAAATACCCTAGTTTAACATTGGTTAAAGCGTTTAGCTGCTAACGAAAAACTTGGGCATTTCTGACCAGTGAGCTGTTTGGGAGAAAGATACAGCAGTCTTCTTCTGCAGAGACTTACAGAATCCCTGTGGGGCAGATTTTGTAGAGTTTCTGTGGACTGGAACCCACTTATAGCAGTAAGTTTGGAGTTTCTTGGTTTTAGTAGGTGATGCTATCTTCTTTATTCTTTAAATGGGTTATAGATTTTTATTTTTAAAATTCATGACTTTTTCTAGTAAGTGACTGTAAAAATCACTTATTGAAACATGGAGTTTCTCATCCTGGTATTTAGGTAGTCGTTCCTACCTTATAGGCATGCTTTGTTTTATTGCACTTCAAGAAACTGTTTTTTTGACAGATTGAAGGTTTGTGGCAATCTTGTACCTTGCCGTTTTCCTAGCAGTGTGTGCTTCATAGACTATAGAAACCTATCATTGCTGCCGTTGAGTCGCAGCTGGCCCTCTTTTGGACTTGAGGTTGTAAATTGCACAGAAGAGATTGCTCAGCTTTCTCCCTGCAAGAGCCACTGGTGGATTTGAACTGCCAGAGACTTGACTTGGCTTTTAGAGCTCCCTTAGACTGTGACTCATAGCAGCCCTAGGAACGACAAAGCTGAACCCTGCCCTATTTTGTGCCATACTTACATCTCTGATAGAGTCAGACTCCTTGCTGCCATCACTGTGTCAGTCCACCTTGTTGAGAATCCCGCTGACTATATAGCGTAGTGTAAACATAACTTCTATACGCACTGGAAGACGGAAATTCCTTTGACTAGCTTTATTGCAGTATTTGCTTCATTGTGGTCTAGAACTGAACCTGAGGTATGCCTACAGATGGGAAGTTATTTAAAGCTAGAAATCATGTTTTACTCATCTCTGGAGGCAGTGATTAAAAACAGGCTTTGGTTGGAATTAGATATCATGTAAATCCTGGCTCTCTCTCACTTCCTAGTTCACTTGGACAGATTGATTTTTGTTAAGTCTGTTTCTTCGTTTGTAAAATTTGATAAGCTCTACCTCCCAGTGGTACTCGGTAAGAATCAGGTGTGTATAGCATTGTCAGGTATATAGGGAGCTCTGGGGGCCCAGTGGTTAAGGAGCTGCTGGCATACCAGAGGCGCATGGTTCAAATCCACCAGCTGCTCTGTAGGAAAATGATGAGCAGTCTCCTTTCATGCAAAAACTGCCTCTGAAAACCACTGGAAGGGTCAGCTATGAGTCTCTTCCAACTCAGTGGTACACAACATCAGGTAAATATCAGGAACTCTTTTTTTTTTTTTTACTAGATTGACGGGTTAGAATAGGATTTTATTTTTAAAGCAAGTATGGGAGAGTCTTTATTTTCTAGGTAATTTTTTCTAGTTAGTATCACAGGTACCACAGAGGGGGGAAATTAATGGTTTTCTATATAGGTTTTTAATCAGTTGTTTTAAACTATAAATTGTAGTTTTGTTTCTCAGATGTTGAAGAAATTCTATCCTCTACAGACATTAGAATTTTGAACTGTTTTGTCCACAAAGATCCATCCCTTTTAGTAATTAAATATTCGGGGGAAATAAACTATAAAACCATTTATTTTTATAAAAATAAACTACTGTGGCACTTCCTTGACAGCCTATCCTCCTGTTTTCTCCCAATCTGAGAATTATGGCCAGGGAGAGAGGCCATTTTGGATTTTTTAATTTTTAACTGTGCATTGCACTCACCCTATTCCTTAAATTTACATGGTGTTAATCCAGGATTTTTTCTTTTTTTAAGCCAGTATAGGAGGAAATGGAATAAAAGCATTTTACTTTGTGACATAATTAAGCTTAGAACAAGCTGACCATGTGTCAGCAGTGAATTTTTGGCACAGGGAACTTGTATTTTATAAGGATTTTTTCACCTTTTTTTTGATCCACAATTTTTGTTTTATTTTTAATATGCTTTTTAACAAGATAAAAGGAACAACCTTTGAATATGCGTGCTCTCTTTCCTTTGTTGTTTAGAGACAAAGGGGGCATTTTCATCTTGATTCTTTTAAGGCGGAGTTATTCTTAATGTGGAAGATATTAGTGTGAAGATACTGATATTAGTGAAGATACTGCTCAGACTACAGCCTCTGTTCGTCTGTCACTGTACATTTACTGACCGTAACAGTGGGCAGGCTTGAAGACTTATCTGTGCCAAAGCTAGGTATTTTATTAATGCTCATAACATTTAATTGTCTCTTCAAGTGCCAGTTAACAACCATTAATACATAGCTTTCTATAAAGAGGGAATTATTACTATTTCATGAGTTGGGAAGGAGCATAGAAGCTAATGGACTCCCAAGTATTCATAAGCCAAAGTGATCATATGAGAATAAGTGTCTAAATAGAGTTATCAGACCCAGATATTAAAGTTCTGTTCTGGTTTGGAGTTTGTTTTTGTCTTCCAGTGTTAACAGAAATGTGGTTCAGTCCATTCTGCTATACCTGGAAATGGACTTAATTATAAAGCACAAACAGAATATTATAAGAAGACTTTTTATTTTTTATATTCTTTTTCATTGTAACAAAAGGATATTAGTAGAGTTAATTGTTTTTTCTTCCTAAACATAAAATGGAAGGCTTGTGCATTTTTCATAAACTTACGTTCTGGCTTTCCCATTAGAAACACTATAATTTTAATGGTGTTAAACAATTTGTTTTATGGTTTGTTTCCTTTGTGCTTATGTGGTAGTGTCTGACAGTGAGGACCCTGGGTCGGTGTTTAAGCTCTACCACTTGCTCTAGGTCATAGGCTTCAGTGCTAAGCCTGATGTCTTCATTTATAATACAGAGATAACAACTAAACCAATTCACTGGGTTGTAGAAAGACTTATTCAGATAAGCCTTAAAAAGACCCCTTTTACTTGGAAATGTCTTCAGAGTTACTCATTTCTGTTTACATAATATGTTGAGATGTTAATGAAACTTCTAACAAAAGCAATTGGAAAATCAGAAATTTTGTCTGGACTGTCCGTAAATTATCTTTTTAGGTAAATAGCATCTGTCCTGTAAGAAGCTGTACAGTGTTGCCACCAGATGGTGCACATGATTTTGAGACAGTGTGATTCTTCTTTGTATTTGTGAACTCTATTGTCCTGTCCTCACTTACCTGCTTTTTTTTTTTCTATAATTATATTTTATTAATTTTCATAAACATTTACAGAGATTTTGGGCTTCCACTCATTCATTGTTGCACTATTCTCTCTACCCTCCTCCCAGTTCTTGTCCAAATGCCACAGTGCTTGTCAAAGCCAGTTCTGATTAATCTTCTTTGTCAGTGTGTCCTTTGCCATTCCCTATCACTCCTCCCTGAGAGAGACTTCACCCTGAGTCATAAGGAAAAGGGGACGGCGTATTCTCTTAGCTACTTCCTGCTGAAAAGGGACGCTGTGGGTTTCAGGGTGAAGATCTCTCACTACTCTAAAGGGCCCCTTTGGCAGTAGGAAACACATAGACTATTATGGAGATTGATTTTGGAATTCAGATGCATTCTTATTGATTGTGCTTGGCTGTACGTGTACATATCCTTCAAGATGTATCATGGGGGTGTTGCAACCTAGAAGACACAAATTTGACTAACAAGTTATAAGTACATGAGTCCAAAAATTATGGAAAAGTAAAAGAAAAGATTCTTTCATTGTTTTACAAGCACTCCCCCAGGTCCCCTCCACCATGCAGCCCTCGCTCTAGTCTCCTGTGATGACAGAAATACCCAGTTACATCTCTCTTTTAGACGGTTCTCTCCCTCCTCTGTTTCAGTGCAGTATACATTATTGAACCCATCTTACTCAGTCTCTCCCCAACCCCAAGGACAGTCCCATTCTACAACAGTGGCATCATGTAATATTTGTCCTTTTGTGACTGGGATATTTCACTCAGCATAATGTTCTCCAGAGTCAACCATTTTGAATAATATTGTATGAGTTCCTTGTTTTTTAATGCAGCATAGTATTCCATTGTGCGAATATACCACAGCTTCTCTAGCCATTCGTTTGTTGATGGGCACTTAGGTTGTTTCCAACTCCTTGCAGTTGTGAACAAAGCTGCAATAAACATGGGTGTGCATATATCTGCTTGGATGTCAGCTATGGTCTCTTCAGGGTATATTCCCAGTAGTGGAATTGCTGGGTCAAATGGTATCTCTATTTGCAACTTTTTGAGAAAGCGCCATACTGCTTTCCACAGGGGTTGCACCATTTTACACTCCCACCAACAGTGAATCAGGGTTCCAGTTTCTCCACAACCTCGCCAGCATTTGTTGCTTGCTGTTCTGTTAAATTTTGCTATTTTGACTGGGGTGAAATGATATCTCATAGTTGTTTTAATTTGCATCTCTCTTAGGGCTAGGGATTTTGAGCATTTCTTCATGTGTTTGTTAGCCATCTGAATGTCGTCTTCGGTGAAGTGCCTGTTCATATCCTGTGCCCATTTTTCTATTGGATTATTTACCTTTATCTTGTTGTGGTGCTCAAGTATTTCATAAATTCTGGATATAAGTCCCTTATCTGATATGTTATTACCGAATACTTTTTCCCAGTCAGTGGCTTCCCTTTTTACCCTACTGGAGAAGTTTTTGGATGTGCATAACTTACCTGCTTTTTTAATACCATAGCTTTAGCTTTGGCTCTAAAGTTACTTTATTGCTTAAACAGTTAGGCTTCAGGCTTTAGTCTAGATGGAATGTTTCTCCCTGCTTTTGAGTTCCCAAAAGATACCGTCAGTAATTGGTTGTTAAGCAACACCTTGGACTCTAACCCTCAAAGTCCCATTGGAATTTTACTTAGTACTAGTCCTAAGATTCCTAACTCTGTTATGAGCTAATTTGAAGCTTTTGTCTTCTGATTGTCTTGTGTTATTTTAATAAGCAAACCCTAAAATAGATGAGATATTTCTTAACATTTTATGGTAAAAATTCAACAAGAAATCTTTGTGGAAGTAATTTTTTAAAAAAAGTTTTTATTCACAATAAATTTCCATGTCTGAAGTATATGTAAATGGTTTTAATAATGAAAAGAACCTTAAAAATAGTAACTGTAGGAGAATGGACACGTGATTTCTGGTCAAGCTTCTCCATGAAGTATGTATGTATATAAAACTTGAGGCATTTAACTTAGTAGCATATCTCATGATAAGCTCTTCACTTCTCAGGCATGTTTATGTTGTCATAAAGTAGTTATCATTTGAGGCATTTACAGTCATGTTAATGGTCGACTACCCTAACTTTGCCTATCACCTTTTTCTTCCTTAGTTACCGAGCCGATACCCAGACATACCAGCCTTACAACAAAGACTGGATCAAGGAGAAGATCTACGTGCTCCTTCGTCGGCAGGCCCAACAGGCTGGGAAATAGTTGAATTGGAAGCTTAGGGAATGGGGGTGGACTTGGAACACAGGTGTGTACAGTGTGCTGTAGTGGGAGTTTTGTATTATAGTCCTGTTTCCATTTTGTTACACTCTAGCCAGGATTGAATGTATTAGATGAAATGTGAGATTTGTTCAATCTGAAACCCCTGTTGCCCTTTTTTCCTTTTCTTTCCCCCTTCTTTCTTAAACATTTTTATGATGACTTAAAAAGAAGTTGTTCTGTCAGTTAATGTTGATCTCAATCCTTCAAGATGTTCATACCTACTTTATAACATTCACTGTATTAACCCTTCTGCAAAGTAGATGGGATGAGGGGAACAAGTTTAGTTACGCCCTCAAAATAAATCTTAGTTAAAAATAAATACCTTTTAGTTATATTTTCCCCCTGAGTGTGTAGTGGTGGTGTTTTATTCTTTTTAGTTTTGGTGTTTGGTTTTCTGCCCGAATAGAATTTTTTTTTTTTTGCAGAATATTGTCTGTTTTCAATCAGTAGGCTGTTCCACAAGAAATTTGATGAAAGTTTATGCATGTGCTGAAGACATTGTTCTGCAGTTCATGTGGTGCAAGTAAGCTTTTATCTCATTCAGCCATGTAAGTGCAGAGGATCAAGGACTGCAGCCTTCAATATGGATTGAAGCTCAACATCAAGAAAACAAAGATTCACACCAGTGGGTCAATTAGCAGCATCATGATAGATGGTGAAGAGATTGAGATTCTTAACAGCTTTAGTTTGCTTTGCTCCACAATCAACACTCTTGGTACCAGCAACCAGGAAGTCAAAAGATGATTTGCATTAAGAAAGTCTGCTGTCAGGAACATCACCAGAGTATTGAAGAGCAACGATGTCATCTGGAGAGTAAAGTGTGCCCGATACAGGCCATGCATGCATGGTCTTTGCAGTTACATGCTATGCTATGCATTAGAAAGCTAGACAGTGACTGGGGATAATAGAAGGAGAATTGTTGTCTTTGAGTTGTGGTACTGGAGAAGAGTATTGAATATACTGTGGACTCAAGAGAATAAACAGATTTGTCCTGGAGATGGTGAAACCAGGCTGCTCCTTGGAGGCAAGAATTCTGAAGCTCCATTTGACGTACTGTGGACATGTTGCAAGGAGGGACCAGTTGTCCTTGGAGAGGGACAACACAGGAGAGGAAGACCTCGATGAGATGGATTGACTCAGTGACTGGAATAATGGGATAGAAGTGTCGGAAACCGTGAGGTTGGCTTAGGATAGAGCAGGGTTCAGAGCTGTTGTACATTGGGTCGCTATGAGTTGCAGGTGACTCAGCAGCATATAACAAGACGTGAATCTCGGCTTTAGCTCTCAGGTCTGTATCTACCACTGACACAAACATGATAAACTTTGTGGGGATATGAATCATTTCTGACAGCAGCCAGGTTGATTGCTTGATCTTTAACTTTTGGATAAAGACTAGAAAAATACAAGATTTGTTTCATTGTTGAGTGGTCCCACTCTGACTTAAGCACACTGTATCATTTCCAGTCATCATATGTGTGAATGTTCCTTCTGTTGTTTCACTTCACTAGCAACCAATAACTATACACTTTGAGCTTGACAATGTTGTGGGGAGGTGTGATGACTAGGCTAAAGCCCTAGTATCAATATGGAGGTAGAGGGAATTTTTTTAGACTAGTCATTGCTGCAGTCATTGTGTCAGTCCATCTGATTGAGGTTCTTCCTCTTTTGGCCAGCCCTCCACCTTTCTGAGCATGATATCCCTTTCCAAGGAGTAGCCTCTCCTACAACATGCCTAAAGTATTTAAGATGAAACTTTGTCATCCTTGTTTCTAAGCACTCTGGTTGCACTTTGTCTAAGACATATCTGTTTGTACTTTGGCAATCCATGGGTTATTCATTTCTGGTTTTCCAACAACTCAAAAGCATTGATTCTTCAGTCCCATTTATTCACTGTCTAGCTCTGATATGCAGTATGCATAGTAAATGATAAACCATGGTCTGAATCTGGAGCACCTTAGTCTTTAAACTGACATTGCTGCTCAGTACTTAGGAGAGGTCCCTGACAACAGGCTTTCTCAATGCAATACAACTTTTGATTTCTTGGCTGCTGGTGCCAAGGTGTTTCTCATGGATCCAAAATGACGAGGACTAAAATAAATATAAGAAGACCTACTTTTATGTCCAGTACTATAAAGAAGAGGAATGAAACAGCCTTTACATTATTAAGTCTATGGTAAAACTGCTTCGGTGGTCTGTCCTGGCTACAACCATTGCCCTCATGTTGTTAGAGAGGTAGTGTTGATTGTGTGGCCTTTCCCCAACCACAAGTAATGCAGGTTTGATTTCTGTTATATAAAGTTATACCACTATATATAAAGTGTTTTTTTATGTCATTACCTGATGGCAACACATATCAGGCAAATTATAAAATTCCCAATTCTCTAGTTCACCTTATTTTACAAACCTGAGAACTAGAACATTTTTAACAATGGCTTCTGCTTTTTTGTGTTTGTTCTCAGTAAGCCATCAAAATTTTAAAAGGGAATCTCATTTTGTTTTCTAGCTAAAAATATTTCCAGTAATTCTAAATATTCAAGTTATATGTTTTAATTCCCATTGTTTGGAATGGAAGTGATAAACTCTTTCATTAAGAAAGACCAGAGCAGGAATTTTGGACTGTCTAACATTTATTATCTCATAATAAATTCATGGTCATAGTTTCCAGGGCCCTGCAAAGGCCGTAGAATTCAAAGAACAAGACTACATAGCCTTCTCTTCGGTATTTTATAGTTTCTGCTGGTCTTAAGAAATTGGGGTTGTGAAAAGGCAAGGGCCACATAAGGACAGTTACATCTGACTTTTACTAACTTGTCAAAGGGGAACTGTCCATGTAAATAGCATCAATAATACAAAACCAATTCCCATGAGGTCAGCGTCCCTCACACTCCCATACCTCTTTCTACTCATCGCATCACCAATCTTACTGCTTTGCTGGGTGCAAACGCCAGAGTGATAGTTCAGAGACCACACAGAACTGTATTAGGGAAGTCAAAAGGTTAGAATCCAGATTAATAACAATACAGTCGAGACAGCTCCTGAAATATGTACATAGACACCTCAGCCTCAAACCTTATGGCTTTTTGGTCAGTGTTCCCAAGTTCTCAGTCCTGCCAACATTGGCTCTTCCACGCTCATCCCCCCTTCCCCAAGGTCTCATCTCACAACAGGCCTCCAGTTCAGCCATAAGTCTAGCTGGAACAGGAAGAGTTTTCTACATTGTCTTGCTTTTTCTTCAGTGGCTTTAGAAAATTGGCTTGCTCAATTCAATGGCAAGAATAGACAATCCCTTGTAGAATGTTGAGATTGGCCAACGCTGGGTGGAATGGTAGGTAGCCAGTCCCTTTGTGGGTAGGCTAACACACCCCATTCACATATTCCCACCCATCTACATAGCATCCTCTTTCCTTAATACAATAGTTAATTCAGCTTAAAATGAACAGTTAATCTTTTGACTAGGAGAGGAAATTTTGAATGATAAAACTGACATCCAGAGGAGTCATTCTTCACCTAACCAGTCTTAACTAGTAACATATTCCACCATTATAATTCCTCAAAAATAAAACATGGTTCGAATCCATCAGATGTTCTACTGGAGAAGGAGGGGCAATCTCGTGTACCAGTCAGATCCGATTTGATGGTACCTACAAAAGATTTTTTAAAAATAGCTAAAAACAGTAACGCAAGGTCATCAAAGAGTAGTTTTGCTAGTCCTTTATCCATATAATTTGTGTGTGGGTGTGTGTGCGCGCGCGCGCTCTCGCGCATGTACCGTCAAATCAGTTCTGACTGGTACAGGAGGAGATTGTCCCTCCTTCCCCAATAGAGCATCTGGTGGATTTGAACCTTGCGCCTCTGGGATTGTAAATTGCAGCTCCTTGCCACTAGGCCACCAGAGCTCCCCTTATCCATGTAATTTTTAAGGGTGAGACAGTACATCAAGTAGCTAGAAGTAGCATTTGAACTTCAAAGAAGAAAATAGGGTTCAAGTAATGACTGGTAAAACACTGAGAATGAGAAGCAGATAATCCATTATGACTGAAATAAAGGGAATAATTAGAGTGTATTGAAATAAGGCCAGGACAGATAGGATTGGAGTGCACTCAAACTCAGCTGTTGGTGAGTTGGTTCCAACTCAACAGCCCTTTATTGGATTTCATTGGACCGTGATTCACAAATGGCAGATACTGTCCATCTTTCTCCCTTGGAGCAGCTGGTGGACTCAAACCAAGTGAGACACTTTTTGGTTAGCAATACAGCACTTAAGAGACTGCGCCACTTGAACTCCCTTCCATCACACTGTAGTGTTTACATTTCATTTCATAGATAGTACAGGTGCAAGATTCTGAAGATTATCCAAAAACAGCTGGAACACCACATGAACAGAGAACTACCAGAAGTGCAGGCTGGGTTTAGAAGGGGTCGTGGTATTAGGGATATTGTAGCTAATTGTAGATGGATCTTGGATGAAAGCATGGGATACCAGAAGAATGTCTAGCTTTGTTTCATTGATTATGCAAAGGTGTTTGACTGTGCATCATAACAAAGTGTGGCTGACTCTGAGAAGAATGGGAATCCCAAAAGACTTGATTGTGCTAATGCAAAACCTATACTTGGACCAGGAGGCAATCATCAGAACAGAGCATGGAAACACTGCATGGTTCAAAGTTGGGAAAAGCGTACGCCAGGGATGTGTCCTGTCTCCATACCTTTTCAATCTTTATGCAGAACAGATTATCTGGGAGGCTGGGCTCTATGAGGAGAATGTGGCAATAGGATTGGAGAAGAATCAACAATCTGCGTTATGCAGATGACACAGCCCTGCTTGCTGAAACTAAGGAGGACCTGAAGCACTTGCTGTGGAAGGTCAGGGACTGCAGTCTTCAGTATGGTTTGAGGCTCAATTATCAAGAAAACAAAGATTCTCACCACTGGGTCTATTGGCAGCATAAGGATAGATGATGAAGAGATTGAGATTGTTCATGGTTTTAGTTTGCTTGGCTCCACATTCAACAGTCTTGGCACCAGCAGCCAGGAAATTAAAAGACGTATTGCTACGGGAAACACAGATATACATTCCTCTAATATTCCCTGCTTTCAGCCAAGATCCATCTAACATCAGCTACAATATCCCTAGTATCACGACACCTTCTAAACCCAGCCTGGACTTCTGGCAGTTCTCTACTGATGTGCTGTTCCAGTCGTTTTTGGATAATCTTCAGAATGTTGATCGTGCTAATGAGAAACCTGTACTTGGACCAAGAGGCAGTCATCAGAACAGAGCAAGGAAACACTGCATGGTTCAAAATTGGGAAGGGCATACAACAGGGATGTGTC